ACAAAAGGGATCAGCAACCAGTTTAATTCTACTTATGTCCATGAAAGATTAACTGCTACAGAAACTACCCTCCTATCATAACAACTGGAAAACAGGACAATACATTTGATAAAAGTTTTCAGATATTGTACTTTAGGCAATTTTGGACTATGATTTCAAAGAGGAAGGAACAAATGAGCCCCAGATTACTTCCTGGAGGAGATGTCTCGGGCCCAGCAGTGAAAGAGGGCACCTAAAGAGAGTGTGAAAGCCATGCTGAGCTGAAGAGCTAAAGAGGGAGTCTGGTGAGGCTGAGGTGGCTAGAATTTGTAGAGCAGAATGAAAGAGGGGGGAAAGCTACACAGAAATATAGCTCTGGAGACCTGCAGAGGAATCCCCAAGTCTTGGATGCAACATTGATCTGAGCACACGTGAAAGCAAATTATCGAGTGCATGGGTGAGACCCACCAAAAAGCAGCAGAAAGAACAATTTCAAGAGCTCACGCAGAGCTAGGAATAGTTTGTGTTCTTATCAGACAGAGCGGAAAGACTTCGTAATACCAGGACATTGGCTAGAGTCTGAAGGCGAGTAATACTTCAGTAACGGAGCCAAGTCAGTCCTGAGTAAAGGCTGCTCTGGATCTACCGTAACAAAGGGCAATGGCAAGGCTCTAAAGGATTCAGTTAGTCTACAAGTTACTTGCCTGCACAATAGGATAAAATCCAACATTAACTAAATCCAGCCCTGAAAAATGTCACAATGTCTGACATTCAAATAACAATTACTAGGAATGCAAACAAAAAGAAGGAAAGCATAACCTATTAACCAATGTAACATCCCAGAAATGAGAGAAAAGAATTAGAAGAGAAGGACCTTAAAACTATTGTAAATATGATAAATATGCTCAAGGACATTAAAAAAATTCAAACTTGATAAAGGGAGAAGTAGAGAATATATAAGATTCACATTTCAGTTTCAAAGATAAAAAATACTATATATGAAGTGAAAAATACTGCAGTAGACTTGAAGATAAAGCAACAAAATTTATTATAATAAAGAACTGAAAGTGCAAAAAAGGAGTTGGAAAAAAAATTGAACAGAGCCTCAGCGAACCTTTTGTGTAATATCAAGTGGTCTAACATACAGGAAACTAGAGTCCCAGAAAGAGGAATGGGTGCTACAGAAATAATAGCTGAAAATTTTCCCAAATTGGTGACAAATATAAACTGATGAATCCAAGAATTTCAACAAATAACTGATAAGGAAAACACTAAAAAACACATTAAGGTACCTCATAATAAATCAAATTATGAAAGTCAAAGATAAAGAGAAAAATCTTGACAGCAGCCAGAGGTGGGGGGAAACACTCTAGGTACAGGGGAACAAAGAGTGGCATCAGACATTTTGTCTGAAACCACACAGGGCAAGGAACACTGGAACAGCATTTTAATATTACTGAGAGAAAAAGAAAACACTGCCAAAGAATTGAACATAAATTCTTAAAATTAAGATGCAATATAAATTTTTTAAAACCAATAAAACATGAGAACATTTCTCACCAGCAGGAGTTTACTATAAGATACATTAAAGGAAATTGTTTGAGGGGAAAAAAAGATAGTAAACAGAAATTTGGAACCACAAAAAGAAAACGCAGTACACCAGGAATGATCAATATGTGTAAAAAGGAAAAAACACACTTCTGTTTCACGCAAAAATAGTATCAATGTACTATGAGTTTTATAGCATATACACAATTAAAATGTATGACAACTGCACACATGCTAGGAAAGTAGAAAGATAACCTGTTACAAGGATCTCAAACTACACATGAAGTGGTAAAATTTGAAGATAGACTGTGACAAGTTAAAGATTTTAACGCAAACACTACAGCAACCACTAAAATTATTAAACAAAGAGGCACAGCTAGTACACCAGTGGTGAAAAAAGACACATACACGCACACACACACAATCCTAAACAAGGCAGAAAAAGAGGAAAAACTAAAAAATAAAATAAGTAAAAAACAAACAGCAAGATGGCAGATTTAAAGTCAACTATATCACTGATTGCTATAAAAGTAAACAGTCTAAACACTTCAATTAAAAGACAGATTGTTAGCTGATTAAAAAGCAAGACCCACCATTATGCTGCAGAAAACAAAAAATTTTTAAGACAAATTCATAGCTTAAAAATGGAAAGCACCCAAATGTCCAGCAGGTGAATGTGTGAACTGTGGGGTATCCAAACTATGGAATGATACACGACTCAGCAATAAAGGAGACAAACCGCCAATTCACACAGCACACACAATGTGGACGCATCTGCAAAGAACACCGCTAAGCCAAAGAAGTTAGCACACTATATATAATATCCCACTTACAAAATTCTAGAAAAGGGAAAAGTACAGTGCTCATGGACGATAAGTGGATGCCATGGGCCGGGAGTGAAGGGGGAAAAATTAACTGCAAAAAGTACAATGGAACCTTTCCAGGTAATGAAAATATTATATATCTTGATTGTGATAGTGGTTACACAACTGTACCCATTTTTCAAAACTCAAACTAAACACTTTAAATTGGTAAATTTTAACATGTAAATTTATCGCTGGAAACTATTCATTTTCTCTTATGGAAATGCTAAATTCTGTCCACACTAAAGTGATTAGAAAAACCATGGAAAATTGGACGGGGAATCTACAGGAAGAGCCTGAAGAATTAAAGGCAGCTGAAACTTCGAGGCTCCTTCCAGTACTCACTCAGAGGCAGAGGTGAAAAAGCCGCCAGTGATAAAGCCACTGACAGGAGGGAGCCTGGATCCCTCGATTTTTCCATCAATTTTTGGGCTCTGCAGCAGGAGCAGAAATAGGCAGGAGCAGAGGCAGGTAAAAGGAAGAACTCTTAAATTGCTAAAAGGACAAAAAATCATGACACTGAAAACGGCCCTCACCAACCAGAAGTTCTCAAAGGAATTAACTAAAGCGTTAAGGGAGTTTTAGGGCAGGAGGAGCTCTGGCTGGAAGGAGGCCTGGGGGAGCGCACGTCCTGAGAAAGCGCCGGCTTAGAGCTACACTCGCACGCGGCGGGCTGCTGGGGGAAGGGGCTTCCAGGGGGGACGCCCTCAGTCACCCTCAGAGGGGCCCAGGAAACAGGGACAGAGAAAATTTCAATAGGCTGAATCCTGGGACAAGCTGAAGAAGTTAATGAAGTGTGTGAACCCACCGCTAGGGAAATGAATCCACGGAAAGGCGCTCCGGGGGTCTGCTGTCCTGGCCCAGGACACAGTAACATCCCCTGAGGCAGTGACGGCTGTTTTGCTTCTTCCCCCCACCCCAACTGGCATTTTAAGCCACAGTTTTCTGCTTTCTTTTTGCCTCCAGTACTTCATACGCAGTGTGTCAGTTATTTCTGTATTTTTCATGCTGCTGACAGAGTGACGCTGCATTGTCACCTGAGGATGGACACCAACCGGCAAATTTCGGCCCTGGAGATGGAAGCCACAGCTGGACACAGCATGGGGCACAGAGATGAGTATATTTATATTTGTGGGGATAAATGAAAGGTTGTACTATGCTTGGCAAAAACACTGTTTCAACTCAATGTATGGAGAACGGGTGGGTGTGCAGGTTTGTCTACCAAGAGCTCCCCTTCTCTGGGAACTGCAGCTTATCGCTTCTGGAGGGAACTTTCCCGTTGCCATTACAACCAAGTGGGTGCTGTCCATCACCGTTTCCCTCCCCTTAGTCACACAAATCAGAGTCCTGCCCCAGAGGACACTAAACTGGCAGTTTGGGATGAAAAAGAATCCTTTTGGTGACAAAACCAAACACATGCTCTACAGTGCTGCTAAAATCATGTATCCAGCCACGTAAGAGAGCTCTGCCTCAAACAATGACGCTGACATGCAAAACTACGTAGAGACAGAAGTGGTTCAAGTGTCCTAGTGACAATTCTTCATCTCCAGGTGTGCCTTGGCCTTTTTTCCCAAAGCAAGTTGGACCTACTGTTACCTGCAACCACAAGAGTCCTGCCACAATGCTGTTAGAGAAAATTAAGTAGTCTAGGAGGCTAGTGTACAGGATGCACAGGAAATCCGGTGGGGTGCTCCTAAAGAACTTGGAAGCATTAAGAAACTTGCTCAGCATCATGAGCCAGAGTCAAAGCCACTCTACTGCAATGTCTCTCTTGACTGTAACCTAACAGAATGTGCTAGCACATGAAGAAAAAGTGCCCAGTCGCAGATGGAAGTGGTGGCACTGCCCCTCCTAGCACTGCCTGTTTGTGTCTGCGGGTGGGCCAGGACACCCTAGAGGAACAGCCTCTAATTTTAGCATACATATAGGCTTATCTTAGCCTGCTCAACCACATCAAATTGCTATTTCATGCTGCAAACGTAATTCTACACATGGAAACACACTCTGTTTCTCTCAAATCTCAAACACTGTCAGTAGATATTCATGTTTCATACTCTACAGAGTCAGACGGGACTCCTTCCGTCTCCCAATGGTGCCACGCTCACCGACATGGCACCTATCCATTTCCCACAAGGGCCAATTCTTCAACATGCGCTTGGACCTCTCAATTCTTTCCCTCCCCACTTGGCCTCTGGGATTTTATTCCATTGAATATTTTGTGTGTTATAAGGTCAACCTTTCCCTTAACCACCAGAAATGTAACTGCCATGAGGCCTTGTCCATCCCATTCGCTGCTATAGTTTTTGATGTCTAACACATAGTAGGTACTCAAAATTATTTGTTGAAAGCAAGAATAAATGAACAAAAAGTTGGAAATGAATAATCTGTAAGAAGTCTTCCATTATGGAGTTCCATCATTCTACTTGGAGAAGATCAGGTGCCACAGTGATTCCTGACTTAGGGGTTTTTATCGTATTTTAATAATAATTTTCTAGACCAACACAATATAATTTTCCTTTATCTTTGACTTTACTTCATGTTAATTCACTTTAAATGTTGAGCCTAAAGATGAAAGAAATGAAACAGACAATGCCAACAGATGATGCTTACTCTTCTTTCCATCCATATCTGCGTGGATCTTCCGGGCCAGGAACCCCCTTTTGTACACGGCGGCGTTTGGGTCGTGGGGAATGTCCAAGAACGGGTTGGTGGTGCTCCCAATGCGGCTGATGGTCTTCGGCTGTGTTCCATTCGCCTTCTCATCAGTACCTTCAGAGGGAGATTTTTTTTTCTCTTCATCATCTCTAAAGGGAAAAAACACCAAGATTACCACCACCTGCCACAACATTCAATGAACACAGTTATTTAATGTGAGAAACGATCGTGCTTTCTAACGGTTCAGCGGCCTTCGTGACAACCAAGATCATAACAGCCATCATTTACTAATTGTCTCTGGTGTCCCAGGTACTAATGATTATGACAATCTTGTAAGACTGACATTAGTAGCCTAAGCTGAGAAAAGGGAACAGACTCAGTGTTGAAATAAATACCAAAGGTATAGATTAGTAATTAAAGGAAGAGATAGTGAGGATACGATTGTAACATCTCTAGAGCCTCTGCCCTTTCCACCCATGACCGTGCCTTCTTGTTTGTCTTCGTTCAAACAAGTGGAAGTTCTTTGGCAGAGACTATGATTCTGATGTTGATTTTTGGTGTCTGCCTGGTCTAGCGTAATGACAAGTACACAGAATACAACAAATAATTATAGGTTAAGTCCAAGGAATAGTATTGAGTGATACTTGCCAAATAACCAGGTTATTTTCAAATATCAAAATGCCAGGTAAAGCTACCAGTGGGTTAGGATGGTGGTGCCATGCAGCGCTTTGGCCTCTAAGAGCTATTATTTCCCGAAACGCCACGAAAGTGGGGGACACCAATCAGCCATGCTTGGGATTGTGATGCACTTGATGTGAAAGGAGAAAATGATGGTTCCACATTCAGTGAATACAGAGGAAGGAAGAGAGGAAAGTTAGTAAGTGCTGATCTACTGCAGGCCCACAGTACAGTTAGAAGAGCATTTGTCTTAGTTGCCCTGTTTTAATTTCCTGAATTACCCCCTGATTTCATTGTTTATTAAACTTTGATTAGTGAATCCTTTTTTTAAAACTTCAACCAAAATAGCCACCAATAAAATATGCTTAAAAAACCCACAAAATTAACAATCATCAAAAGTGTTTATTTGGTGATCAGAGAAAAATAGCCTTTTTCCCCACTGGTATTTGATAATTTTGAGATATATGAAAATAATAATGGACTCTAAGACATCTTTATTTTATTTTAAATTTTATTTTGAAATAATTTTAGATTTCTAAAAATAGTACATAGGATTTCCATATGACCATCACCCCATTTCCAATTGCAAAAATTTCAAAACAAATTAACATTAGAAAATGATCAGTTAAACTTGACTTTATCAGATTTTACCAGTTGTTTTTTTTTAATTGATATTTTTTCTGCTCCAGGATCCTATTCATTATCCCACAGTACATTCAGTTCTCAAGTCTCCTCCAGTCAGTGACATTTCCTCTGTCTTTCCTTGACACACTGAAGGGCACCGGTCAGTTATTTTGTAGAATATCCCCAGTTTAGGTTTGCTTGATGTTTTCTCATGCTTAGACTGAAGCTACATGTTTTTGGGAAGTTGCCATAGGTGATGTACCTTCTCAGTGCGTCAGATGTTTTGTTATCAGGGACATTAACCTTGATCACTTGGTTAAGGTGGTATCTAGCATGTTCCTATACTGTAAAGTTATTTTTCTTTGTAAATAATTTGAGGGAGATATGACTATGAAAATATCCTCATTCTCTTTAAACTTCTGACCACTAATTTAAGCATTTATCGGCGAGTCTTGCCTGTGACAATTATTGTTGTGGTGATCTAATGGTGATTTCATTTCCTTCATTTCTCCCAGATATCTAATTGGAACTTTTCTGTAAGTATGAACAATGGGTATTTAAATTTTTCTTTGGGTTATAATTAAACAGTATTATTATTTAATTTGTTCATATTTTTCCAGCTTTGGCCTTTGGGAGTTCTATCAAGTAGGCTCGGCACATAAGGTTGAGAACTTAAAGTGTGATTAGTCCAAATACAGATGTGCAGTTAGTGAAAAAATACACACCAGGATTTGAAAGGATTAATACAAAAAAATGGAAAATAATTTAGTATTTTTACACTAATTATGTATTGAAATGGTCATATTTTGGATACACTGGGTTAAATTAAAAAATACATTTTAAAATTAGTTTCCCTGTTTATTTTTACTTTTATAATGTGGCTACTAAAACTTTAAGTTACATATGTGGTGGCATGCATCACATTTCTCTTAAACGGGGCTGTTGTTAGAAGGGCTTGTGTATTCTACGACACTGGAATATTAAAACCCAAAGACAACAATAGGACAATAGTTGGAGTAATGTTCACCAGAGCACAGTTTAGTAAAACTCTGACAGTAAGTGAAAATATTCAATCCTGCAAAACAGGTATTCTTAACATTGTGAAGGTTAATGAAATGACCCTGTCAGGCTCTGAGAGTAAAAATCTACCCTGAACAGAGACCCAGGTTGGCACCAACTGGTGGTGGCTGTCTTTTGGGCTTATATACACATGGGTGTGCGATGGCTGGGACTCCCAGGATGGAAGTGATGCTGGAAATGCGGCGAGGACCTTCTCCTTCCCTGGAGTGCCCCCACCCCCTGCACCCCCTTCTCCTTTATTCCTGCCCTTCTCCCCATGTCTCCCCAGTCCCCCGAATGTTTGCCTGGTTCCATCTGAGACACGGAATTGGCAGAGAATAGGAACGAATCACATTATACCTGAACTCACATTATTCTTGATTGCACCACTGTGGGGTTTTATTGTTTTTACGGATATGATAAACACCAGTGCCTCCCCATAGGGAGGCCGCTTCCACAGCATTTAAAAGCAGATATAAATGAACATAATGTACTGATAAAAGTAATTCTCTAAGTAAAGTTAACTCATTGCTATAGAAAGCAGCCCCTTAACTATGCTTTCCTGTGTACCCTGATCCACTGGGGCATTTTCGGGGTGACAATACAAAGGATTTTGTTAAAAGTAAAATGGGGAAGACCCAACAGGGCTCTCTGTCTTGATTGTGAAGAGAATGAGTCATACATGAACATTTTGTACATTTAAAAAGATTCCTAGTAGAGTTTATTCTACGAGATTCCAGACATCTCAACACCTTACAACCTACAAGATTCCCCCAAACATTCCTCACAGCCATCTGCTCTCTGGGTGACCAAGTGTCTCATTCATCGGGCGGTCCGCATCCACTCCATCACGCTGCAGGTCACCTCAGGAATGACAAAGCTCTCGTGCTGACCGTGGGTAAGCTTTCTCCTGCTCTTCTCTTTCTAAAGGGCAGCTGTGAATCACGAATTCCCCACACTCTGCCTTACTCATGACAGGAGCTTTTCTTTTTAAACAAAAAAATTAGATAAGGAATGGTACAAATCCACAGAAGTCTGATATTTCACTGGAATCCCACAAAGAATGGCAAGCAGCTGCTTCCTAAAGTTTTACAAAAGCTGAATATTGTGAATGACCCAGGCATAGAGCAGATTATGAAGTACCCCTTCTGGCAAGTCTCATTACAGCGGGTTTCAGTCCCAACAGTGGTTAAGCTAGCCCCAAACTCGAAAATTAAGTTACCTTGAAGGGCCCGTTATGTGGAATTCAAATACTGAAAATAAACTGTTGGGCTTTTGTGTGCGGGGGTGGGAAATAACAGTGAAAAAGAAATGCTTTCTGGAGCAGAGCTGGAATATTACTCAACCTCCGAATCGTCACGAAGAATGTGATAGTGGAGTTGGACAAGAAAGTAAGTTCAGGTTCACAGGGCAGGAAAAGTGAAGAGGGCACTGCCAGCATTCACATGTATATGTGCATGTCCTTTGTTTACTGTAGTAAAATACTTAGCATAAAATTTATCATTTTAACCATTTTTAAATAGCACAATTCTGTGGCATTAAGTATAGTCACGTTGCTGTGAAATGAAAACTACTGACTAGCTCCAGTATTTGCATCACCCCAAACTGAAAGTCTATACCGGTTAAACAACAACTGCTCATTCCCTCCTCCCTCAGCCCCTGGCAAGGACTATCCCACTGTGTCTATGGGTCTGACTGCCCGAGGTACTTCATATAAGGGAAATCATACATTATCTGTGACTGGTTCATTTCACTTAGCACAATGTCCTAAAGATTCATCCATGCTGAAGCACATGGCAGAATTTCCTTTTTAAGGATAAATAATATTCCATTACACACACACACACACACACACACACACACAATTACATAATTACATAGATCTATAATTAGACCACATTTTGTGTGTCCATTCATCTGTTAAGGAACACTTGGGTTGATTCCACCTTCTGGTTACGATGAATGCTCCTGCTGTAAACATGGGTATACAAATCTTTTTGAGTCTTTGCTTTCAATTCTTTTGGGGATATACCCAGAAATGGAATTGCTAGAACATACGCTAATTTTTTCCCCAAATTTTTTGAGGAACCATTCTATTGTTTTCCACAGTGTCTGCACATTTTACATTTTCACTGACAGTGCACAGGGTCCCTTTATTCCCCATGCTCGCTAACACTTCTTTTCTGGTGCTTTGATAGTACCTATCCTAATGGGTATAAGGTAGTATCTCACTGTGGCTTTGATTTACCTCTCCCTAACGATTAGTGATGTTGAGCAGCTTTTCATGTATCTGTTGGCCTTTCATATATCTTCCTTGGAAAACTGTCAATTCAGGTCTTTTGCCCATCTTTAAACTGGATTACAGGCACATGACACTTAACAAGGGGAATATGTTCTGAGGGACTGGATATATACTCAGCAGTTGGTGGGGTTATGAATTAGCTTCCCTGCCCTGGTGAGGCAGCAAGAGGACACCCGGGGCCTACATGGCTCATTTTTGGGGGGCCCTGAATCAGGCCAGAGTGTGCATTGAATATCCTGGTCAGATGGGGCCAGTTGTTTTGCTCTGAGACAGGAAAAGCCATGGGCTGTGCTCCCTGTTCAAGTGTCACGAAAAGCAGGCTGTTGGATAGACTCTGCAGTCTCTTCTGTGCGCTGTATGGTAAGGTTCCCCGGTTGGGTGGACTGAAGACTTTATTCAGCAATAATTGGGCTACAAATTAGTCTCCCAGGCACAGTGGGAGAAACAGCTCCAGGGCTATAATGCTCTTTGCAGTCTTGACTCAAG